GTTTGCCCGAGGCATGCTGAAAACAGCTCCTCGAGGTCGCTGAACGGCGCACACACGCTGAAAGCCAGCTGCGTCAGCACTGCTTGCAGCGGCTTGACCACTTCGATGACGCTTTCCTCGGAGATGGGAATCCCGCCTTGCAGCAGCAACCCCGAGTTGTGGAACATGCCCTTGACCCAGTCATCGACCTCGGCAGCCGTGGACTCTGGAAATCCGGCAAGCAGCGCCGTGTAGTGCTTGTTCCGCCGTAGCAAGGACGTTGCTCGGCGGAGATGGGATTGGACGAGGTGGATGGCATCATCGTACATGGTAGGAGGCATCAGCGGCGTGGGCATCTCGCGCACAAATGCCCGCAACAAGCGGAAGGCAATGATGGGAGAATCGCAGTCGAAAAAGTCGCCGTGGTTAAACCGCTGGCGCGCGCGCGCAAACAGCTCTTCGTCCGCGTTCTGCTGAAAGAGCACGCGCAGCTCTGCCTCAAATGCCGCGGGGCGTTCTTGCGCGACATCTTCCACGTAGCGCATCATGTACTCGCACAGAAAGACAAGAATGCGTGGCAACGTCGGGCCCTTCTCTCCAGCGCCCGACAAGAGCTCGGCCACACTCACGCCAAAGTACGCCTTGACTTGGAAGAGATTGTTCGAGTTGACAGGCGCGGACGTGTTGACGAGCGCGGGCGCCGCCGTCGCAGAGTGAGACGGAGTTACAGGCGTGGTAGGCGAGACCATGCGCGGAGGTGCAGCAGCAGCAGCAGCAGCAGCAGCAGCAGGTGATGCCGGTGCGTTCGCAGCGGCTGCATTGGCTGCATTGGGTGCGATCGTGTCGTTGGCGTGAGGAGGCTGATTTCTTGGAGTCGGTACCTCTGCTTGACTTGTACTACTACTACTGCTACTACTAGTATTGCTGCTATTAATAATACTAGAACTACTTTGCGCTTCTGGTCGGATGGTACTTGGCGAGGACGCGCTGTGGGCAACGGCGGTGGCGCCGCTCGTTGAGACGGATGGTGTAGCGCTCGACGACGATGAGCGCAGCAGTGTGGGCGGGAAGAAGCTCTGTCCAGCCACGCTTGCAGGGCTACTGCTTGACGACGGCGTCGATGCCAATGCCGACGAGGCACCCGTCGTCGTCGTCGTCGTGGAGAGACTTGGAGTGGAAACGGCTGAAGAAGCGGCTGATTTCGAGGCGACGGCTCTGCTCCAGCCAGCGACTGCACCAGCGCCGGGGTGCATTGGTGAGGATGTCAATGTGCCAGTTATCTAAAAGGGTAATGCGATAAGCAAGAGACAGGCAAGAGACAGAGAGAGAGAGAGCGACAGGTCAGTTTCGAAGGTCGATCACTTTCCCCCCCCCCGCCTCCAGTCACCGAAGCACGCAGATCATGATGCTGGAGCCAAAAGTAAGAAAGCAAGAGCATCCCCGAACGGAGACGCTGGACTGGTGAGGGAAGCTGTTGACCCCGGCCATGATGGGACATAGAACGGCACAAACCTCTGATGATGATGCTGGAGCAGCTGCAACAGCTGCAGTGGCAGTGATAGTGGCAGTAGCAGCGCCAGCATGGACGGATCGATCGGAGGACGCAGGGTGGGTGCTGCGGAGGAGCGGCGGGTGAGTCGGAGGCTGCTCCGACGGCAACGACGACGCAAGGCCGTTCGCAGCGCTCAGCCGCATCGATCAATGGAGGAAGAGTGGCTGAAGCGATCCTATTGTAGGCGTAGAATCATTGGGACCAGGTTACGTATAATAAAAAAACAAAACAAAAACAAAGCAAAACAACAAGTAACGCACCAAACAACCAAACAACAAGGACGCCATCAACAGAAAATCAAAAGTTCAGAGTCGACGAACAATAAACAAAGAAAAACACAGATCAGAGATTTTTCGGCAAAACAATTACCGACACGAACAAAAGAAACGGAGAGAGAAAGAGAGAGAGAGAGAGGAAAGACAGAGAGACGGAGAGGACAGAGACGATAGAGACAACACAGGGTCAAGAAATCAAAGAAGAAGAAACGTTCAAAACCAGCAGAGGAAAAAGAAGAAGAAAGAAAAAAAACATTTAGAGAGCAGTGTCGGGCCCAGGCAAATCCTTCAAGTTGGTCTGAGCATACTTGAGGGAAAGCGCTTCACGCTCGTCCAGGCATGCTTGAACGAAAGCGCGGTGCTTGGCTTGGAAGGCTTCTTGCAGCTTTTCGAGAATAAGCGCGTGCTGTCGCTTCTTTTCGGTAATCTTGTCGTTGCCGGTGGTGAGCAACTCGACCTGCTGCTCGCGCTGGACGAGCTGCAACTCTTCGAGTTCCTGCTGGTGCAGCAGGCGGAGCTTGGCAGAGGTCTTTTCGAGATACGAGTTAAAGTCCTTGAGCTCGGTCACAAAGGCGATCGCTTCTGGCGACGGGTCCATCTCCAGCTCGATGAGCAGACGCTCGACTTCGGTGGTGTTGCGCTGCGAGCCGTTTCGGCTGCCGGGGGAGTTGAGCATGAACGAGTTGCTGGCGGCAAGAGAGTGCGCTGGTGACATGGGCTGCGGGGACTCCTTGGTTGGGGTGCCAGCCGGGCTGGGATTGGACGAGCCGTCGCCAAGCGCAGAGTCACGCAGGCTTGCGCGCGCCTTGGACGACCGCCCAGCCGTGCCAAACAAGGTCTCGGTTAGTCGCTTGGACTCCTTGGGCTTGAGCTTGCTCTCCTTGGGCTTGGGCAGGTTTTTGCGTTCATTGGCCTGGATTTTGACGAGCTCGGACTCGCGCTTGGTGCACATGGCCGCGTGGCGCTCAAGCTCCTTCTCGTTGCGCGCGCGGAATTGGTCTTTTTGCAAATCAAAGAGGGCCTGCATCTGAGCCTCGAGCAGCGTCTGCTTCTCGCGCTCCTGCTTGTCCCACAGCGTCGCGTCAGCCTGGAGCTGGTCATTCTTGAGCTTGTGCAGCTTGATCAGGTAGCCCTCCTCAAACACCTTGAGAACGCTGTTTTGCTGCATCATAAAGTTGTGAATGGCGGCAGTGAGCTTGGTGGTGAGCTCGGCCGTCTTGTACTGGTCTGCCGAGTCGACTTGTTCCTTCCACTCTTGCTCTGCACGGAGCTTGGCAGCTGCGCGCTCCGTCTTGTCCTTGATCTCGTTCACCTTCTTCTTGGTGTCGTGAGAGAAGGATTTTTCATCGTTGCGCTGGTGGTCCTTGAATAGCTTCCACTCGTTGTGGTTGTCGCTCTCGGCCTTCTTGCGGAAGGCCTTGAGTTCGACATCCTGCTGGCTCTTCTTCTTCTCAAAGTCCTTCTCAAAGACCTTGAAGTGCGTGTCCAATTCGGCCTGGTTGCGCTTGATCAAGATTTCAGTTTCCTTGCGCTGGGCGTTCTTGAGCGCCTCGGTCGCCTCCGCCTGCTCCTCGACCATGTCGGAGTAGGCGGCCTGTGCAGCGCGCTGTTGCTTTTGACGAACGCGGAGCTGCTCGTTGCGCAAAATGCGAACGGCCTTGGCATCCTGGGCCAGCTTGATGGGATCGACAGCAGAGCGCTTGATGGGGCCGTACTCCGCGGGCGGCGAAGTGGGCGTCGATGGTGACGACAAACCGACAGCCGAGACGTTTTGCGTGGAGCCAGACTGGCTGGGGCTCTCCTCCTTGGTGCTTGCCAAGTTGGCGTTGACCGCGGCGGGCTTTTCACCACCGCCGAGACGCGTGGAGGCCCAGCGGCGAATGCTGGAGGTTGTTGACTCTTTTGCAGCGACTGGTGCGGCCATGGACTGGCTGTGCGAGACTGGCTGGTGGGCCTTCACGGTGGTCGTGCCCGGGGACACCGGTGTGTCGAAAGCGGCGACAGGCGTGCCAGTTTCATTGAGGGCAGTGTTCGAGCCGGACAAAGCTTTGCTGTGGTCTCCAGCAGGAACACCCTCTTTGGAGCCGACACTGCCGCGGCCGATCGACTTGCGCAGACGCACGGCAAATGAATCCTTGCGCTCGCGGGATGGCGAGTGCGAGCCGTCGTCCAAAATCTCGCGACTTTGAGCTCGAGAGATGCTTGGTGAGACAATCGCCTCGCTGCTTCCCGAAGACACGACAGAAGCCGACGACGCCGCTGGAGCCAGGTTTTGAGTCGACGCCGCAGAGACGTTGTTGGTGGACGCGGCCAGCGGGGTGGCCATTGGCGCAGAAGCCGTTGCTGTCACAGCTGTCACAGCTGCCAAGTTGGTCAAGGGTTCCGAAGTGGCAGCCGAGAATGACGTTGAGCGAGCCGTGCGAGTTGGAGTCTCGAGCTGCGATGTGGCGCGTTCCGCTTTTGGTGATGCACTAGGAGCAGCAGCAGCAGCAGCAGCAGTAACAGTAGCAGCAGTAGCAGCAGCAACAGCAACAGCAGGGAACTGCTGCACTGGCACGTCATCATCCAACGAGGTTTCGCGCATGGACGTGGCCCGAAGAGGCCGACAATTTTAGGAGGCTGAGCAGGGCTAGCAGCTGGAGCGGGAGACACGTCGTCGTCCAGGCTGGTTTCCCATGTGTGTCGCGTGCTTGGGTACGTTAACAACGGCGGCGGCAGCGGGAGTCGGGCTGGGAGCTGCCGGCTCGGGCGCAAACCACGGGTTGCTTCGGAGGAGAAGCGGGCTGTTGTGGTTGATGTGGCTCTTGCGCGGGCGCAGGCACGGTTGCTGGCGCTGCAGGCTGTTCGACAACGGCAAGGACGGGCGCGTGCTCTGGGGTTTTGTCGGGCGTTGCTGGCTGGACGCTCAGCTTGTGAACGGAGCTCGGCGATGAGGCGACGGGGACCACCAGCACCGTGGCATCCGCAGCCGAGGCGTTGCCGTTCGTCGACGCTGGAGACGAAGCGGCAGCAGGGGCGGCTGGCGCCGAAGCAGGGACGTTCAGCGTCGTGGCCAAGCCGACTTGGGACAGCATGTCTGTGGACCGAGCCATTTCGACACCTGCGTTGCTGCTGCGACGGCGTGGGGCGTTCGGCGATTTATAGAACTGATACAACTCGCGAATGCAGCTAACATCGGTCGCGTCCTTGACGAACGGGTGGGCCAAGCAGGCCTGCGCATTGGGTCGCTGGAGCGGGTCCTTGACAAGCAGCGTGCGCAAAAAGTCGTGAAACTCGTCGCTCCACTTGGATTGCTGCTGCAGCACCGGGGGCGCGGCCTTGGGAATTTTAAAGAGCACACGCATGGGGTGCATGTCGTGCAGCGGCGGGTTCATCTCGGCCATTTCGATGGCGGTGATACCGAGAGACCAGATGTCGCACTGAGAAATCAGCAAGAGGGGTGAAAGTGAGAGCGACATGACTCGGAAAGAAAAACAAGAAATCATGATTTTCAACAAGCAGCGGCGTGGGCCTTACCAAGGAGTCATAGGGTGTATCCTTGTTGGTTTCGCATGCTATAACCTCGGGTGCCATCCAATATGGAGTGCCGATAAACGTGTTTCGCTTTTGCTCGTTGGTTTTGAGTCTGGCAGAGACACCAAAATCGGCTGCACAGCGAAACAAACAATTGGAGATGAGATGGCTGCTGCAGGTTGCAATGATGGTCGTGTTGGATGAGCAAGCAGACTTACCGAGTTTCAAATCGCCAAACTCTGTGACCAAGATGTTGCCGGCCTTAATGTCACGGTGGATGACACGGTTACGATGCAAGTAATCAAGTGCTTGAAGCATGTAGTGGTTGACGACTCGGATGTGCGGTTCGGTGAGGGGTTTCTCGAGATCTGCAGCAGCGCAAAAAAAAACAAGATTGAAAATGAGTGCCATCTCGCAAAGAATGATCGCGTCAATCGAGTACTGAGCCTTTTTTTTTTTACCAGAATAAATGTCATCAAGAGCGCCGCCCTCGCAGAATTCGAGCGCAAGCTAAGTGTCGGTTGCAAAGAGTGAGCTCAACAACAGCCTGTCAAACAACGACGACAACATTGAAAACAACCCTTACCCAGAGAACGTCTTTGAAAAAGTAGGCATCAAACAGCTTGCACACGTTGGGGTGGCTGCTTTCCTTGAGAATGGTGATTTCGACTTGAAAGTCCTCCAGTTCTTCGTTAGACTCGACCGCAATGACCTTCATGGCCGATATCTGCGCGGACTTTTTGTTTCGGCACTGTGTGTTGTTTTTGTTTATAATCAAGTTTGACGCGCGAGCGAAAGATGGAAAAAAAAATTGGTGAGCTTTTCAAAAACGGGGAGCCGACAGCAAGAGGCAGCAAGCCAAGGAAGCTGTATTGCAACTGAGATCAACTGTGCGATGATGGGGGGCTTTGTCGTGAGTCGGGAGATTGAAGAAAGCCATCAACGTCAAATGTAAGTGTTGTTTTTCTCTGCTTTTCTCTCTGGTCGGTCGCTGCTTCCAACGCTGGCAAGCAAGCCCATCGTTCGCCTCTCTCTCTCTCTCTCTCTCTCTTCCTGCATTCTCGCCTCGTGGAGTGCAAAGCAAAGCAAACGAACGAACGGGGCTCGCTGTGGACCACCTCCCAACCAACGACAACCAATTGATGCCCAAATCAGGGTTTCGCATGATTGATGCTGGCTGGGCTTTGGCTGACTGCACTCGCGCCACAAAGTCTCCAGGGCTGCCCTGCTGTTTGTAGCTCGTCTGCGATCGCTTCGTCTCCCTTGCCTTGGGTTTTGGTTGATGGAACAAATGGACCAACCGTAGCAACCAAAAGCATCAAAACAACCGGTGTTTTTTTTGTTTTTCGGTAATTTTCCATTTTGCTTCCCAACACGGCGAGTCTCTCGACCGACAATTCGCCGCCACCCTCACTCGACACAAGGAGCAAATAGAAGGACAGTTGATAAAGCGCAAAGAAGCAAAGATGCGAGAGGCAAAAGTGACAAACAAACACAAAAACACAACAAATAAAAAAAAATATAATGTTATTTGTGATGGCTTTCAAAACCATATGCGCCGGATTGTTGACGCTGTCACCCCCTCCCCCGGGGCTCCCCTTTGCCGCGATGCTGGGGTGGGGATGAGGAATGACGGCCAACAGTAGAGCTTGCAAAAGCCGCAGCCACGATGGAGTGGGACCGCGACGCTGGGACGCCGAAAGCCCTTCCCTCCAGCATGAGAAACAAAAAACAAAAAGGCCAAAAAAAAAAAAAAAAAAAAAAAGCACGCTTTTATATTGTTTTTGTTTTAAAAAAAGCTGGCGTCGCTTGCTTGGTACTGTCGTCGTCACTCACTGTGAGGCGCGATGGCAGTGTGAGACAAGCAACTGCCAAAGCTTGGCGACCACAGCTCAGTGGACTCTGAAAACGGCCCCTTTCCATCGGCTCGCTTGCAGCCAAGATTAAAAAAAAAAATACAATAAAAAAAAGAATTAAAAAAAAAAACGGGGCTTTCCTTGCAGTTCGCACACACGAGCCAAAGCACGAGCTCGCGCGCCTCGTCTGGGACCAAAGGGGAGGGACGCGAACAACCCGCGGATGGAGGGTGGGAGAGGGAGTGTTGCGAGTGTGCGTGTGGAGGTGACAAAATCGGGCGGTGGTTCAGCTGATCAAAGCGAAAAGCAAAAAAAAAAAAAAAAAAAAAAAAAAACGCTTTTCCAATGTTCTTTCCATTCATTCAACTGCGGCATCGCCGGAGAGCATCCCCCCCCCCACCACCACCTACCCCCTGCGGCGGCAAGTTCCACCCTCAGATGTCGGGGTACAAATCATGCTGATCCATCTCGTCGAGTCTCGCGGCCGCTGTTTGAATCGCTCGTTCGCAGATTGCCTCGTCGCCCCGTTGATGCTTCGCCCGTTTTTTATTTTCCCCCTCCACCTCCACCTCCCCACAGTGAACCGCATCGACCACAAACGGCGACGAAAGAGGAGGGGAGAAAGCTCAAGCCCCCCTCGGACGCGGAGGAAACAGCAACTTGCCTTCCAGACTTTGCCAAAGCTGCCATCGCCAACCTCCTGGACGAGGTCCCAGACGGTCTGCGGGTCGACGCCAGTGATGACGTGCTTGGAGAGCTTGACTTTGCCCTTCCGAACCATTTATGAAATGAGTGAGGAGGGTTTCGATTGAATGAGGATTGCAATGAATAATAATAATAAAACCGAAAAACAAATGAAAAAAAAAAAAAAAAAAAAAAGAGTGAACAAAGAGTGATGACTCTGATGCGCTTGAGAGTTGCCGCGACAAAGGGTGAGTATGTCAAACCCCTTGCTCAGTGGTAGATCTTAGTTGTTGAAGCAGTTCTAGATGAACGAGTGCACATAAAGGGACAACAAGCGCGACAAGATCGAATCACTCTGCAAGTGAACCCTCGCCATCCTCCCCTCCCCCTCCCCCTCAGATCCCCAAACATCTCCCCATCAGCGACTTACATACATGTCGCACATGAACACTACGATTGTCACTGATCCAAAAACCACCAAATCCCAAAACGAACAAAATGCCCCACCTCGCACTCTTCCTTTCTCAAACAATCCCAACTCTCCCTCTCCCAACCAATGGCCGCTGAACCCCGCTACATTCTCGTTCCCGTCGACGACTCGGTTGGCGCCCGTCGTGCGTTCGACATGTGCCTGAACGAGATTGTCAAGCCCGGCGACGGCGTCTTCCTCGTCCACGTCTACGAGCCCTTCATGCCGATCGTCACTCCGACGGGTAATCCATTGATCCATCATCATCGGGGGACTCATCACCCGGTCCACTCTTGCAGTATCTTGACTCGTCGTGTCTGTGTCTCTATGTGTCTGTGTGTCGCTGTGTGCTACAGGCTACGTTCCGCCAGAGCTCTTTGAGAACTTTTCCTCTCGCGGACTGAAGGAGGCCGAGCGCATCCTCTCTGCTCTCGCTGCCGTCTGCGCCGAGCGTGGTGTACGTTTTTGTTTGGCTTGTGTTTGTCGTCGTTGCTGTTTTGCTTGTGTTTTGCAAGTGAGAGAGAGAGAGAGGGAGAGAGTCTGGGACTTGGATGATGATCGGTCAGCTGCTCACCGTGACCTCGTCCCCCTGTGTGTCTCTCTTCCTTCTCAAATCTGACTACGTTCTGTATATCATGCGCAACTGCGATATGATCGACTGGCTTGGACTTTGTCTGTTGGTCTGATCGCGCTTGGCGTCGTGATTGATGCCTTGTCCCGTTTCTGTGGACCCAACTTGACCCGATTCCCAACCCCACACACGCACACCAAACTTGATGATGATTGGGTGTCCACGAACTGCAGATTCCATGCAAGACTCAGGCGATTGAAGGCGATGCCCGCGACTCGATCTGCACGGTAACATTTATCTCGAATGAAATTCTATGTTGATGCTTCTTGCTCTTTGTCTTCTGACTCGATTTCATCATCCGTCGCAGCTCGCCGATACCATCAACGCCAAGATGATTGTCATTGGCTCGCGTGGTCTTGGTGCCATCAAGCGGTAAGCTGCCTTTTCATCACTTTTAGCTCGGAATTTTGAATACTCACTTCAACCTCCTCCTTACCAATTTTGCTGGATCATGACGATAGCGCTCTCCTCGGTAGCGTCTCCAGCTTTGTCGTCAACCACTCCTCCAAGCCCGTCCTTGTCGTGCACGGCCAGTAATGGTCCAAGCAGACGCGCGCTTCATCGCTTTTGGTGCTCGACGACAAAATAAAGTCTCTTGACTAATAATCATCATATTGACATGAAACTTATCGTGTCTGAAAGCAAACAAAAAATAATGCCGTGCTAGCAGTTCCGCTCGGTCGGATGCCGATATTCCAGACCCAGCGCGTCAAACACGTCCTTTTCCGTAGCGCAAGGCGTGAAAACGTTCGCGGTGCGATGCTCCAGTCCGTGGTTGGAAAGATGATACCCTTTCCGCGTTGCCCACTCGCGAATCGATCTGGTGCAGCAAAAATGCGGCAGCCGTCAGCACAATACGAACGACGAAAACAACATAAACGACAAGAAATCAAACATCCCCCTCACCGTTCAAATATGTCCGTCCCCGTCCAGCCTAGAAGAGTGAAGGGGAAATCATGCAGCGGACAGGAGATGATGTCGACACGGCGATGAGGACGCCCTGGAAGGCGAAAGACTGCCAGACACCGCTCGTTGTGGTTGAGGCGTTGGTGTGAAATGATGGGTGAGAAAAAGTTCCCTTCGTAGCCAAAGGAAGTGTGATAAGAGGCCCGCTGTGCTGCCGAAAAGTAGTCGTCTGGAATCGTTGTTGACCTTTCAAGCGAGGCGGCCAAAGGCTCGCCCGCGCCGGAAATCTCTGGTACGGCTGCTCCCCGCGGCTCCCACCCAGCGTCATCGTCGCCTTCGGAGCCAGACGAAGAATGGTGATGCAACACAGCCATGCTAGAGCGCTGTGGGGCAGTTTGAAAAGGTCCCACTCCAGGGGCAGCTCGGCGAGGTCCATCAAGTTGCTTGCGGTACCCGCGCCACTGGTGGTAGGAGCGCAAATGGACGGGCTTGCTGGCCACAGCAGCACCGGCGCGTTCGCCATCACTGCTGTCGCTTTCAGACTCTGCAGCTACTGCAAATTCAGAGTGGGTGGCCGAGGTCGAGTTGAGGTTGTCGTCCGTCCAGTCCCTGGCGTGCGCAGGCACCCCTTTCATCGAGAGCGTGCGCGCCATCATGGGATTTCGCTCGTCCTTTGGCGAGTTCAGGCCCAGCTCCAAGACGTGGGTGATGATCCCGGCTTCCTCGAGCGACTGCACAATGGCAAAGAGCTTGTTGTTTTGTAGCCCTTCTGTTTCGTGCGTGATCAAAATGTCGACATCGCTCACAGTTGATTTCCCGCGTCGAAACCCGCCAGAAAAGGTCATGACGAGATTCGGATCGACGCGGGCTGCATGCTGGCGGAATAGCTCGCCAAACTCTTCGACCTCTGCGCGAGGGATTTGCTGTGTGATGTCGTTGTACAGCTCGAGACCGAGCTACAACCAAGAGGGAGGGGGGAAAAAACCAGAAAATCGACGAAGACAAAGTGAGATGAAGCAAGTGAGGAAATAAATTCAAGCAAACTCAAAATCGATCTCAATGGGGGGTTACCGAATGAAGGGCACGCCAGCCTCGCGGTGGTCGGCTGGATAGATCTTGCAGAGTACGGTACCCAGATTCATACCACATCAAAGCAAGCTTGGAGCCAACCCCGAGGATTCGCGTAAACAGCTGGAGCGTACGGCCGAGTTTGCCGTTGCACAACTCGAGATGGCGCTTGACGTGGCCATGCCGGAGCTGCTCGCCAATCAGCAGGGCAATCTTGCCGCTGATAAAGGGAAGTCGAAGAGCCTCGTCGACCGAGCGAATGCGAAACGGGCAGGCCCGCAACGATGCAACGGCACGTCGGAACGCGAGGTAGCGAATGTCGTCGCCGCTCGTCTTGTAGAACTCTGCCAATGCACTCAGTGGCGCAGCGACAGAGGCGTTGAGCTCTGCCATAGCAAGTGTGGTGGACCGCTCGCATTCAAACATTGGCATTTGAAAGTCGGCCGGCATGTGGTCCTCGAGCGGTCTCGGAATGGCCGGTTTGGGTGGAAGTGCGTCGGTAAACCAGCGAATGCCGGATGCTGCAGGAGCCGTCGCGTCGTCGCAGTGATCGACATCATCGGATTGCTTGTCTTTCGGCTTGTAAAATTCAAGTGCATCCACGGTTTGAGTGCGTCGTGGTGGTTCTGGATGTGCGGCAGATTTCGTGGCGGAACTCGACGTCTCGGAAACAAGAACGGGTGCATCGACCTCCTCGGGTAGCAGCGAAAATCCCGATTCGTCCAGATGCTGCTTTTGAACAAAGCACGCGTTGAGCCAGTCGACCGAGACGACATGCACGCCGGGCAATGCGAACAGCTCAGAAGGCAGCCCGGACGAGGCCCGTGCCTTGTCGAGTGACCACCGCGCCGCACATACAAGATGCGTTGCAGCTGGCTGGGGGCTGCTACTTTGGGCAGGACGCTGCGGTGGTTTGCTCGGGGAAGACGAAGCGGGCGCCGGCGTTGAAGCAGCGAGCGAGGCACCAAAGCGGACGGCCAGGCGCACCAAGACCTTCGCTTGGCTCGACGGGACGCCTCGTGGGGCAATCGCAATCACACAGCCATGCAAGAACGCGTGGTCGACGGGGTGAGGTTGGCTGGGATTCGCAGCGGCTGCGATTGACACGTCGTCCGACGACGATTGGACCAATTTGACAGGTTTCGCAGCGACCACGCCTGCAACACCGCGCTCGTCGTCGTCACTATCACTGTCCTCCAGCACAATATGCTTGGTGGGTCGGGGATGCTCAGACACCTCGCTGGACGTTCTGCGCTGACTGGCGCGTTCTGTCATTGTTTTCGACGGTTTGTCACTTCATCCAACAAACAAGGTAACGGAACGAACAAAACACGAAGGAAGAGTGAAGGTTTCAGAGATACTGTACAGTACAACAAATAAATGTGATTGAACAATCCAAGCACGTCGAATTTCGTTGGTTTGAACAATAAATAGGGATGAGAGCAACGAGAAAAACCCCTCGACGCAGCAAAAAAGCCGATGGGTTCCACTTCAGCACAGTACACCTCATCGCAGAGCAAACTCGCACATCAAATTCACGTGGTCGGACGAATAGGTCATGCAAGGCAACCCGTACTGACGCAGCATTCCGGGAGACAGCATTGCGGCGGAATCCCGCGAGGCAATCGCGCGGATCTCGGAGACAGGTTGGAGGTCGAGCAACCCGGTCAGACTCAGCGCGCTTTGCTCGAAGAAAATGTAATCAACAGTAGACATGGATCGCTCGTTGATGGATGTGGCGAAATGTTGCTGATCGGGATGACGATCTGTCTCGGCGTAGGCGGACGCAAAGTTGAAGTGATGGCGAATGGTTGCCTCTGGAGCTGGTGGCGAGAGGGTAGATGCGGCGTCATCCTGGAGCCACGAACAGTTCAGATCGATTGGGAGCTCCGGTGGGACCAGAGGGTGGCAAAGAAACAGATCGTCAACGTCAGAGCCAGGCAAGGGACGCGGACGACGCGACAACGACTCGGGACTGCTGGAGCGAGAGATGAAATGACTCGGAGCCTTGGCAGCGAGTGGAACGGGGTGCTCACCCAGGAGATGATGGTGCTCGCGCGTGGCATCGCAGACTGCCTGTGTGTGGCGGCTTTCGGCACGAAGCTGACCAGAGATGGCCGTGCGATCGAGGCCCGAGTAGCTGATCTCGCCAGTTTCGATAAAGCGGTACAAGTCACTGTCCGGGGTCAAGTTGAAGTCGCCAGCAAGCACCACGGGGATGGGCGAGACGGGGTGGTGGATGCGCCGGGATTGGTAGGACGCCTGCAACTGAGCAGTCAGCTCGGCTCTCACGCGGCGGATTTCCGCAAAGAGCTTCATGAGCTGCAATAGCTTGATTTCGCCGCGCTTGGGATTAAAGTGCAGGTGTGTTGTCGCGACAATCATTTTTCGAATCCAAGGCGCCGTCGGGAGCTGCATGGTGACGACCGCAAGCATGCCAATGTTGTGCGATGTCAGGACTCTGGATCCTTCGATGAAATTCTGCACATTGTGCACACGATTGATGGCAAAGCGGTCGCTTTTGACGAAAATGGCGCACGCGTCGGTGGCCTCGCCGCCTGTCTTTTTAAAGTACCTACCCGAGTAGCCTAGTGGTGTGCAGAACGAAAACAAAAAGGTTATGAGTATCGACGAGGGTTGAATGCAGTTTTAAACGTCAATGCAGGACATGGGTGGTTGCACTCACCTAAATGCCGGAGCGTCTCGGGCAGGTCGTGGTACGAGTCGAGCTCTTGCAGGCATAAAATGTCGGGCTGCAGCGCGGTAATCTCTGCAACAAGGTTGGCTCGGCGATAGCTCCACGCGCGTGCAGCTGAGGGTGTCCAGCGGTACAGGTACGAGTTGTTGCGAAAGTGCTGGTTGGCAAGGATATTGTAACTCATCACTTTGAACTTGTTGTGCGCATGACTCGAGGCATCTGACGGGTCCTGATGGAATGTACGCCAATTGCGAAGCTGTTTATACATTGGCGGCGGCAGTGGCGGTCGGGCTTGTTGCCGCGGAGAGCGAACGTTCGTCGAGCTATCATCCTCAACAGCAGAAGCAGGGGTGAAGTGGTCGTCACTGAATGCCGCCGCCGCCGAAGCAGAGGCCAACGTGGCATCCATCACGACAGAGCTTGAGCATGCTTCGGCAGCCATGTGGAAGCCTCTCGCGCTTGACCTTGTGCTTGTTTGCATCATCACCGAGCCAGAGCCAAGAGAACCCTGAGGCAGACCTGGCAGGAATCCAAGCGCCGGCCGCACCGGACCATCAGACAAGGGATGATTCATGTAAGGCGATGCAATGGAAGCAGGCACCGGAAGCGAGGTAGGAGGAAGGAATCCCGGAAGAAGAGAAGGAGGAAGACCAGGAGGAAATGCTGCAGTCTCAGTGACGAGCCATTGCATCCCAGCCGTGTCCACAACCACGCGAGCAGCACCGCCATAGGATGCAGTGTGTAGGCGCTGTTCGTAGTTGGGGTGGCTGGGCTGGCGTCGGTAATGCTGCTGCTGCTGCTGCATGAGACGCTGAGAATGATGACCGCCGACACGAGTTGCCGCGCGTGCCACGACAACGCCAGGAGTCACAGTCGCCGTAGAGGTCGACGAGGTAGATAGTGTAGCAGTGGTGGTGGTGGAAACAGATACAAAGCAGCGCGGCAAGTGCAACAGGCGCATTGGATGGATGGATGCGAAGGAAGGAAGGATGGGGAAAAGAACGAAAAAAAAAAAAAACTAAGAAAGAAAAAACAAACGAAAGTCTCAGAAATAGAAAAGGATTGGTTGGGAAAAAAACACAAAAGAGATGTCTGAGAAGCAATTCAGAACAAAGGAAGAGAGAGAAAATGAAAGGACTGCATTTCGAATGGACGAGTGCTCGATCTCGTTGTATTGAATCACAACAACGTTGAGCAAATGCAACGGCATGCATGACAATACATGTACAGAGGAGCAACAATGGAAGAGGCACAACGCAAACAAACCGAACCAGGAGAACTTGCATCGCTTACAGTCAAGCTCTGCCAAACTCCCACCCACCAGCAGAGAACCGTTTCATCCACGTAAATCTGAGCTAATCAACAATATAATACCCTATTTTCAATCCAGTCTCAGTTTTCTCAGTTTCTCAGTTTCCGTTGGATTTTTTTTTTTCTTATGACGCGGCTTGTCCTTCTCGCAGCCTGCGCTGCACTGGCGCTCGTTCTCGTCGCTGCGTGTGCTCCGCGCGGCTCCGACGCACTCTACTTTCTCGTCAGCGAAAGCGACCGCAAGTGCTTCCTGGAGGAGCTCCCCAGCGACACGGTCGTCAAAGGTCAGTTCAGTAGTGGAGCCAGGTCAATTCGAGATCTCCATCGCAGCGCCCCGGCCCCCCAGCCAGCCCACCAGGCCCAGCGCGTTCGCCTCTCATTGCACATTTGATGAATCAGGATCAATTTGGGTGTCGGGGGGGGGGTTGGAAGGGCGAGGGGGGGCAAGAACCAGTCCCAACTGCGATCGTCCACCAGCCTGATCTCCTACTTTGCACCAGCTCCAAATCGCTGTTCGACCCATCCACTCACTTTCGTTGCTTTTTGAATGTGCACATACAGTCAAGTACGAGTTGGAGGCGTACGACGAGGAGCTCGAGCGATTCATGCCCAGCCCGACAACGGGTCTCCACTTTATCATTCGCGTAAGTGCAGATTGTTGAATGTGTGTTGAGGCGGGGGTGGGGAAACAGGGTTGAGACACATTGTGGCTTGGCTTGCTCGGGTTGGGTTGGGCTGCGAGCTGGTCCGTTGCACCTTGTGCCAATATTCACGCCTGCTGCCTCATCTCGCAGGATCCGTCCAAGAACATTATCATGCAAAAGGACTATGGCGCAGCAGGAACTGTCAGCTTTACATCGCACGAGCCAGGCGAACACACCATCTGCCTCTCGACCAACACCACTCGCTACTTTGGCGGCAAGACGCTGGTTCGTTTTCGTTTTCGTTTTCGTTTTCGGGGTTGTTGCTTTGCTTTGCTCGCAACCGCTCATCTCGTTCTTCCTCCTCTGACAGAAAGTCGATATTGACATTTCGCAAGGCGAGGAAGCCAACGATTACAAGGAGATCATGAAGAAGGACAAGCTGACTGAACTCCAGGTCCGCGTCCGCCAAGTCATGGATCAAGTGCAGCAGATTGCCAATGAGCAAGCTTATCAGCGAGTGCGTCGTCGAATTTTGTGCTTTTTTGTTGCTTCGTCGCAATCTCTCCCGACTCGCTTTTTGTTTTTTGTCTCTTCTCCGATCTCTCACCCTTTTCTCCTCTATTGACCCCTCGCTCGCTGCACAGATCCGCGAGGCAAAGTTCCGCGACACCAGCGAGAGCACAAATGCTCGCGTTCTTTGGTGGTCGATCGGGCAGACTGTCATCTTGCTCGGCACCACCCTCTGGCAAGCGCACCACTTGCGCTCCTTCTTTAAGAAGATCAAGATTGTGTAAACAACCTTGTTTGGCGTGTGTGCTTTTTTTTGTGTTGTGCAATTTGTCGATTAAAACATTATTTGAGCATCGTGAGTGGCAAGACACACACTCGCAAACAACAAAATCCGGAAATCAACCAATACATCTTTCCGCTATGCAAGAAAACCCGACCTCCCCCGATTACTCGGTCTTTGTTGCAGTCTCGGGTTGCGAATGACGAACGCGCGGAATCGGAATCATCATCAGGAGAACGGCAACAAGGTGGCCGATAAAGTAGATGGAGCTGTACACCTCCTTGATGGGAGAGAGACTCAGAAGCACAAAGGCAATGAGGGCGTAGTGCAGTGTGCTCGTGGTGATAATGTAGCACACAATGTTGAGCACGGGCGCTGGAATGATCGGCGTGAGGCGCGGCATGACGTCGGCACGAAGTCGTCGCTCAATCTCGACCACGACAAACTCGGTCAAGAAGCAGATAAAGTAGCCAATGTGGAAGCCTGTAGGCGAGGTGAAAGATGCCAAGAAGGTGAGTTTGAGTTTCAAGGAAAACCGAGTGGAGAAGTTCTCGCTTGCAAACAAACAAACAAACCAACAAACAAAAACCGCTGCTCTCGCCGTTCCAAATAAATTCCACAACTCTCGCATTCAGCCACACGTCCCACATTGTTTTCTTACCGTGCCAAAGTGCCAGGAACATGAGCGTGGACAAGGACGAGAAATGCTTGTTGTTCATAAAGCGCAGACGCTTGAAAATGTAACGAGCAACCCAGTCGTTCGTGTTGACATTGAAGGACTCGATGCATGCCTTGAGCGACGTGGCGGTCTCAAACTTCCAAACGCGAATGTTGGCAAGCCCGTCCCACTTCTTGGTGGCGACATTGTAGCTGAGGCCAGACAACATGCAGCTTGCCTCGGCGATCAGCCAGACGCCAACATAGCTCAAGAACGCAGCCTTGCAGAGACCCCAGAGGTATCTAAGAAACAAAAACAAGAGTAAGATCAAGGGACCAGATGATGACGCGTGAGTTGAACAGCAGAGCAAAGAAACGCGAGCGACACAAACTCAACCCAAAACTCGACACGTCCTTACGCCAAGCGATAGAGCAGCGGAAGAGCCTTGAATGCATCCGTGAACAAGTACGACTGAGGAAAGTATCCGTTCAGCACAGGGGTCACGCCAATGTACACCAGACCGAGGGCAGCGCGGGAGAGTGCAGGAACGAGCGATTCACGAAGCTGCTCGGGCTTGAAGAGAGTTCCGCTGACGAACGCCTGGTAGCGACGGATTGGGAACTGGGGACCCACAAAGACACCGCCCCAGAAGTAGGCATAGCCGAGGACCTCGAGGATGGACGGAAGCTTGGGCAGGGCCGAGTTGACCGTGTCCTTGGTGAGCTTGTCGGTGGGAATGCGCCCGTCGTAAAAGTCGAACGCCAGGCCAATGAGCCGCAGTGCAAGAACGCACTGCACAGTCGTAAAGTTGATGTCGTACGAGTCGGTGGCGTGGATCAGGTAGCAGCCGAGCAGGTGGCCAAAGATGCCCGTGAAGACAATGCCGACCATCGCGGCCGTCTGGCCCAGCACGAGCATGCACAGGTACGTTGCCAAGATGGTCAGGAAGCAATGGAGCGTGTCCGGGCCAAAGCACCAGAAGACGCCCGCGGCACCAGCCACCGCGCTAAACAGGTGGAGTGCCTGCTGGGCTGCCCTCGACGGGGGCGCACCGCCGCCACTGGAGAGCACCAGGCGAAAGGGAAGCACGACAAGCATGCCGCCGAGCAGCGAGAGGAGCAGGCGGATGTTACTGTCGAACACTGTCAGCTAAAGATTGTTCTCTCGACGTTTCCCACCCATGGTGCTTCCCCGTGCCGGCGTGTGAACAAAAAAGGCTGCTGAGAGAGAGAGAGAGAGAGAGAGAGAGAGAGAGAGAGAGTACGTGGATGTTGACTCTCGATGGAAGGTGTGAGCGCGTGAATGAATCTGAGAGAGAGAGAGAGAGAGAGAGAGAGAGAAATTTGACTCTGATCAAAAAACAAACAAACAGCAGCGCAGACAAGCAAACAAGCAGCAACCAGGCAATAGCAAGCAAACACACATACATGTACTGATCCACACAACAACAACAGCAGCAGCAGCGAAAAACGAACATCGCTTTGGGTTTCAAACAAAAAAAAAAAAAAACGACCACACGCCCATCGTCAACAACTCGTCTACGCAGCGTGGTGGTAAATCCAGCGGCCTTGGTCGTTCTTGGAAAAGTGCTTGACCTTCCACTCAGTGTTGGCCTGCTTGCGCTCGGCAGCCTCCTGTCGCTGGCGGTTTTCGAGCAACTCCTTGGCAGCTGTTGCGGCGGGAATGTTGCCAGCACGCAGATTTTCAGTGACATCCTTCCACAGTCTGATTTGTTGTGAATGGGGAAACGTTGCAACACAAAGGATTTCAAACCAATTGTTAGCTCGTCATCTCTCGGAGAAGCAAAAGCTCTAGAGTTTCAATTTTCACGAAAGCAAACCGACAAAAAAAAACACAACGTCCTACCTTCGCGACTCGAAAGGAGCCTGGACATCGAGGGCTCGTACCGACTTGTTGACCTTGATCGCCTTTGCAGCGTCAAAGTAGGGCGCCTCCTTGGCACCAGTGTACTGAATCACAAGAACCTCGTTCCACTTGCCAGAAATCTTGACGAACGGGGCTTTGGCGTTGGGCTCCTTGACGGTGCAAAGGAGCTCGTGATAGGAGCCGCCAAACATTGGCTTGGTCTTGAACTCGACATCGGCGGTGAAGCCAGTCTGCGAGCACACGATCGTTGTCTTGCCTCCAAGTTCGAGCTTGGGCACTGAGAGGATGGAGCGGCCTGTAGTCACAACCAGGTTAGTGCGTCTGCAGTCTGCCGAACAAGAAAATCAGCTCAAAGCCAGCCTCCATACCATAAACATTCGGGTAGGTCATCACGTATTGCTCGTTGCGCTTGTGCAGCGTGAGTGTGGACTGTCCCACCAACAGCGAGGCGACCGAGGTGCCGAGGAACTTGGATTGGGTCCAGACATCAGCGGCAATGGAGATGCCCTTCTGCTTGTTTTCAAAATAGAAGGCAGAAACTGCGAGATTGGATACAGGTCGCGTGAGTCGGAAAATGTTCAAAAAGAAAGCAGGCGGAGGACGAAGCGAACGCGTGGGGAAGACAAACCTGGAGGGTGGTGCGACACTTGCTCGGCAAAATAAGTGGAAATGCCGGCGCCCTGTGTGGAAAATGGAAACAAGAAGAGCGTGAGTTTCAAAGCGCTGCGCGGGTAGCAAGTACTGACAGAAAAAAAAAAGTGCGCACATACCTCAGCTGTCAAGTCGTACTGGCACTCAAACGTTTCGCCAATGATGGGATTGTATGGCTTCTTGGCAATAGTACCCTGTCGACATGACATTCCACGATGAACAAATGAGGAACAGAAAACTTGAACCAAAAATCAGCAGCTGGAGAACACGCACCTTCTTGAAGCCGTGGAAAGAGGTAATGTACGCAAAGACGCACTGCATCATGCGCTCCTTGGGATCATTGCTGTCGCCGACCTTGAGCCAAGCCATCGGGTTGGCCATGAAATCTGAGCGACGATTGAAAATAAACAAAACAACAAACACACGAAATGATGAGTGCTTGAAATTCCACAAAGGAGTCACGGGGGGGAGAGAGAGAGAAGGTTACTGAGCTACTCACCAGCATACATTTCGAGCAGCGAGCGCTTCTCGAGGACAAACGTGGGCAGTGTGACCTTGGTGAGGTCCATGCCAATCGACAGCTGCTTGAGCAGGTGGAAGATGACACTCTTCTGGTCGCTTGGCGCCTCCTCTTCCTCATCGCTCGAGTCTTGCATCAATTGCTTTTTGTTGTTTGATGTTCACGCATCCAATGGTGAGTATATGGAGCACTGCATGGAGCACTGTATGGAGCAGGAGCATGAGAATCACAAGCTTTTCGTTGTTTACCGAGGCAGATGCGCTGTGGTGGAGCCCTTGGCCCGCACCGGCAGCATCCGACGGCGACGACGAGCTTCCAGCCGCAGACGCAGCCTGGGCTGAGGATTGACCGGCGGCAGCAGTGGCGGCAGTGGCAGTGGCGGAGGCCGAAGCCAGTTCGTCGAGCTCGCTGGTGGACGCGGACGGATGCAGCTCGTCGCCCGGGTGCGGATGGTGATGATGGTGGTGGTGGTGGCTGTGGTTGGGGTTGCCGTGATGAAGGTGACCGTGCTGGTGGTCTGCAACCGCGGCGGTCACTCGGGTCGCGGTTCTACAATCACAAGCAAAACCGAGCGAGCGAGCGAACATGACACACACACACGCACACAATGGTGAGCACACGAAATGGACTCGAAAAAGGGTTGCTTTATGACTTCACGGCAAAATCATAGAAAGTCAAACAGAGAGCGAGAGAGCGAGAGACAGAGAGAGAGAGACAGGGCAGAACAAGGGTGAAAATCCCAATACAAATCCCATACAAAAGCCATTGAGAAGAGCTGCGGTTCTGTTGGCGAAAGAGGAGTGGACATCAAAGGACAATAGCAAGATGATGATGAGAATGATGATGATGAAGATATTGATGGAGTGAGATTGAATGAAGGCGGTGGAAAGGGCTGAGAAAGCTCGGAACAACAGTACCACGACTCTCAATCGATCAATCGAGCGTCGGAACGAGCGATGCTGAATGTCGTGTGCTATTGCCTGATCATATCATGATTCGCATCAATTCTGAGATACCTCAGACTTCTCAAAACGAGTTTGGCTTTGCTCTCTGCTCGCCTGATCTCTCGGTTGGATCAACCGATGCAGACGTTTCTATCTGCTGCTTTGGGACCTTCCGCGAGTATGAATTCATCCAAGCTCACTCTTTCTCATCTTAGTTGTTGCAATACCACTTTCCAATGTCTGAGCCAGTCGACGATCCCGCGCGCCAACTCCAGGTAAGCAAGCAACGCAAACCACCTCGCCCCCCCCCCCGAATCCGAGTTCGCTTTGTATTCCTGCCTGTCGGTGTTGTTCTTGTCTTTGCTTTGTGAGCTCTGCCTTTTGGTTTGGTCGGTCGGTTGGTCGTTGGTG